CTCTCTCTCTCTCTCTCTCTCTCTCTCTCTCTCTCTCTCTCTCTCTCACTAGTCGTAAAAAATGCTTCATAAAATCGAGGGGAGGGACTCTGCTTTCTGCAGTACTCTGCAGCAATAGCTTTGCTCACATTAAGCATTTGTATGTGTGTGTAGTTTCTGAGAGCATGCTGTGGTCTCTACGTAATAAATGACAGGATGCATTTTAAAACGGGTGTTGATAATAAAAAGCTCTCACCTGAAGATCGATGTGCACTAAAGCTACATTTTATCTTATTGCATATTTGTTGGTGTCAGCATGCAAGTTAGTAGATGAAAGTTCAGTTTGTAAAACTGACTGCACTGACCAGTTTAATTTTCAACTAAAATGTCCTGCTCGTCCTTGTCACAATTTGTCATGAACCAAACTTAAGAGATCCATTAATAAAATGTTTGTTTGTAATGGGGACGTACCCCTACGACCTGACGTCCCCACACAACTAAACTGCATTTCATTTTGCTTAGAGGGAAACCTCCCGGGATTATGGGTTAGGGTTAGAAAACATTTTAAAACACGTGGTTGACATGGAAATTGAAAATTGTTAGGTTTAGTAAAAAGAAAATTGAAACAAAACAAAAACACAACAAAAGAACTTGGTTATGATTAGGCAACACAACGTGAAGATCCACAAACATATGGGCTCTTATGCAGCAGTCTCCTCGGTGAAAGACTTGTGTTTTTTACCCATCCACCACCTTGACCTCCTCCTTATAGGCTGACTCATTTCAAACTTACTTGTGATAACTCAAAAGCAAAGGTAATGCACGCCAAAACACATTTCCCTCAAAATGTAATTCACAATGCAGTTTCGTTGAATGGGAATGTAAGTTTTACGAGACTTACTGACTGATTTTGTCACCTGTGGACAGAGCCAGGCTAGCTGTGTCCCCCTGCTTATGCTAAGCTACGCTAAGCAGTTGCTGGGTAGCCTTGTATTTGATGGACATATATGACAGCGGTATTAATCCTCTAATCTAACTCTTGTCAAGAAACAATGTCAAACCACTGCTTTAAAATGAAGTAATCTGTGTGTTTCATCACACTATGAATGTTTCTTTGCTCTTTCTCACGTCAATTATTGTTGGATTTTATCTTCTTTAGTACAACTGACGACCTAAAGTGCACTCATGTTCCACTTTAATCGTGCAACATCAATAAGAGAGACACATGGGTAAATTGGAGTTAATATAGCGATTACGGTTCAATCAATAATTTATTACATCTAACATTAGCAAATTCATATTTCCGTGCAGTAACATCTGCTGCAAAAACCTTTAATGCTTTCGTCATGTACGAGCAGTTATGATGTTTTAATCGACACATTTAATTGGTGCTTCTTTAATAAATGTTTTAGAGTCACAGTGACAGCATTTCATTTCAATAATGCATTTTTCTCTCTCCAACCGTTCTCTAACTTGGACACTGCAGAGTAAACTGCAGGTAGGAATTTGATCCAAATGTTTGATTACTTAAATAAAAATGTAATCTAATTAACTGTGGGAGAATGAAAAGAGTTTGGCAGCAAGCATCACTGAGAAGGCAACCAATGAGATGGTCTTCAGTCGCTCAGGGAAGCAAATTCAATGTCTGCCAGTAAATCTACTCCGTCTGATACAGTCTGACGTTTTTTTTTATAAAGATAGCGATGACTCAGGATGTTGTTTTAGGACATATGATCTCTGGCTCTGGTCCAAGCATTAGAGGGTTCATGAGCTGACACTGAATCAGTTGTATTAGGGCTCTGCACTCATTAGCATCAGCGGCATGCATTATCACTTCTAATCTGAAGACGCAATGGCTATATATGTCAAAAAGTACTGCTGCATCAAACTTATTGGTTCAGCACTCGAAAACTATACACTGCATTTTTTGCACTTCTATTGTTATTGCAGCCTATTCTTCGTCGCAGTTTGCTCGTTTTCTTCCCCTCTCGGATCAATCCAGTAATGTAAAAGGTCTCTTTTGTAGTCCTGTGGTTACATATTAACAATGAATGTAACATTACTGAGAAATTATTGATGCTCAATTATCGGCACAACCCTTTGATGTTGCTACAGATAGAAACATGTTAACACACACTTGTATGGTTTCAATATGCCACACAATATAAGGGTTATTTTGACCTGTAAAATGAAAGAAAAGACATTTACCTTTTTGATATAAAGTGCCATTTTAGTAGTTCAATAGTTTCTCTTAATCACTGTGCCATGTCATCATTAAGGTTAGCATTGAGTTTAATTATGACACCAAACCAAATTTATTCCACCAATATAGACAACTTGCAGAGCAATATTTCTAAGAAAAAACATTTTCCTCCCATAATCAGGACATTGTTATTATATGTGACAGCTTATAAAAACATTCACATCTGGGTTGAAATCATGAACCCTAACAAGCTTCCAACAATCCTGTTCATCGGCAATAAACCGAACAAAAAATTCTGCAAAGAAGTCATTTAGAGGCAGAGCAGGGCGCGTCTTCGTAGAATGCGGCTGGGGAAACAAATCAATCAAACTAATGTTAATAACAGACCGCGCACACTGCCAATGTGAAAGAGGTAATTTGCCATGTGGATGAGAATGCATCTAGCGCTCTTAGCACCATTGGTAAAACTACCGCATGCCTACCCCTGCATTAGACATATGCCATCATAGATTACCATCATCATTTCTCCCACTGATATTCCTCGACAGAAGACTCCCTTTAGTAGCACCACACAACATTATCTACAAACAGATGTAATGCATTCGATTATGGCCTCGCAGGGATCCGCTGGCGCATTGTGCCACGGGGATTACATGACTTCTATTACCGGTTCCAATTAACAAAATAATTCTCAACATCCTCACAGAGCATCCCAGTTTACCGCAGAATTAATTTCACTCTGACATAATGAGTCCACTGCTACTTTGTCTCCCTTTGTGTCGATATTAATCGATCAACCTCCAGAAGGATATAAGTGTTCAAATTAATAAGCTGATTGGAGGTGCAACTTGTATTTGGTCACATGATGTCAGACAGGAACTGCATGAAGTGAGGGTAACCGTGGAAAGTCACTTTTATGTTACCTGTGTGTGTGTGTTTTTTTTCATTTATGTTTAAACAGTGCTGTTGCAAGTTTATTCTAAATGACTTTTGACTATTTGGGGACAGGATGACTCCATAACAAACTAAAATAAACTGTTTTTTTAGCTCTGGTTTGGTCTCTTCAAAGTCTTTCAGCATCATCGGTCAGCCTGTGTGCTGGAAATAGCTCGGCTTTAATGGACAGGTGGACGGACATTCTGATGAAATAAGACATGGCAAATGATAGGCAAAAGATGAAGATTTACACAATGCAAAACTGTTTCCTGCATATGCTCCATTGTTTTCATTGTTTCTGTCAGGACACCTCAGATGGAAATGGATTTTCTTTCTCACAACTTTTCTTAATCTCTACAAACCAAATAATCAATTGCTTAACCAAGAAATTAATTAGCAGATGAATACATCATTAAATATGTAGGCTACTGTGGCACTCTCTGTGGCACTTCAGCGGCAAGCGTCAACTGTGGCAGGCGAGCGGTACTAGTTCGGCACCCGTCAAGAAGCTGCGGAGCTGAGGGGGCGGAGCCACATTTCCTGAGACATTTCCTGAGAACACACATTGTTGTTACGACAGGTCAGCTTCCGTAAATCAGTTTTATGATTTTAGTTGAGTCACCGGAGCCACCCGTTCTCTGTATGCATCCTTAGAGTAAGTACGTTGTACTTTTTTGTTTCTCATTCATTTTATTTAAGTATGATTTTGCTGGTTTTGCAACAAAAGGGAACATAATACATTCTTTCCAAATTATTACTTTTATAGTCATTTACAACAATCGGCTAAAATAATGAAAATAAATCTTCCGTTTTATTATCATTTAAAAGTATACATATAACAAATAAAAAATTAAAACCCATAAAATGTCCAATCCAAAAATACATGTCTGAAAATATCTTCACTCTTCCTCTGCTTATATATGTATGTCAGTAGGTGCCACAAGCTGCCAGAGGGTGCCAGGTGGTGCCGCGGGGTGCCAGAGAGTGCCACAGGGTGCCAGAGAGTGCCAGAGAGTGCCGCAGGGTGCCAGAGAGTGCCAGAGGGTGCCAGAGAGTGCCAGAGGTTGCCGCCAGCAGTCAGAGGGATTAGGAATTTTTTGAATATTCCAGAGTCAAACTTTCTATATCTCAATGGCAATAAAACAGACAGTGCCACAGAGGTGCCAGTGCCACAAGAAGGATCTCGCTGTCTCTCTGTAAATTGGTGAGTCAGTTTTGATTTAACGTTATTAAGGAGTTTTAAGGATTGTGTCAGTAAACATTCTCTGTTGGCTAATTAATTAACTATATTGTTGATGTTTGGTTTTACTTGAGCTGGCTGGAGTTTACATTTTTTTGAATGTAAAAAATAGGCTCCATACCCAGATAGCAAACTGACTCCGGTCCAGATCCGCCCTGGAGGTATCATAGGCTCCGGAACAGATCTGCAAAAAGGGTCCGGATCGGAGTCCACTTGCACAGCTGGACGGTGCCCAGGATCTGGTCTGGATCTTTGACGCGTATCCGTTCCAGAGCCGATATGGACCCGTTCATAAAGCGGCTCATTTGGCCCGTTCATGAAGCGGATCCCTTACTCAAAACTACAGGAATATCTTAAATCAAGCTGACCAACATCTAGATTGCTCTATACAAGTGTGAATACTCTATTAATAATAAAATGTTGAATTTATTCAAGATTTAAAATCTACAGTTACGCTGGAGAACATAAATGCATGTGTAAAATCCCATGTGCATTTATATCCAACAGTGGGCTCTGCAAGTAACAACAAGATCCTCTATTAAAAAAAAACAAAAAACTGTCCTTTCAGCAGCTGCTTAAGAAAACAAAAAAACTCACCACTCTTCTTCAGCTGAGAGTTGGAGGATCTTTAAGGCGGTCCTGAAAATGTTCCACTTCCTCCATTGAGTTCAATGGAAACTGCACTGGGTCAGTCTGTCACTTCGACTTCTTGGCCAGTTGTGTGTAGCTTGTTGGTGAGATAGTTTACTCTCGTGATTGATTAATTGGTCTTGCTGGTGTTTAATGTTCTCCAGTAAGCTCATATATGAACTTCAGCAGCTGTTAAAAAAAGAACATTAGAATTAGGTTAAAAAATTCTCCCCCTTCGGCACAGCAGCCCCACAATAAATTAAACAGAAAATGGCCCAGTCAATTGAATTGTTTAAAAACAAAACACACTAAATCTAATAAGCATGGGAAAAACAGTGGTTGGCTCCTCTAGTGTCTTTGTTTAAAAAAGGAACCTCTACACAAACTTTTGATCATGCAATGTAAAAGTAATTATCTACCTTTCTAGACTGGCCACCGTCCCCTCTAGCAGATAACACATTTTTAAAATCATGCTTTTAAACATATTTAAAAAAGGAAAGAAAGAGAGCCTACCAAATCAGTCACCAAACAAAGGCTGGCCTCGAGGCGGATCAGCTGCTCTCTCAGGTTTGTTTGAGTTCAGGAGGGAAAGCCCAGGTGACCGTCCCACCCCATTGTATTGTGAGCCCCCTGTTGCGTGGGTCCTAATGGTAGGCTGCCTGTTACCTGCCTGCAGTATTTGAACAGGGTAAAAGGGCTGGTGTCCGCAGCGAGTCCGCTGTTTGACGTAGCGCGATCCGTGGGCGGCCCGTATCCTGTGTGCATGGCCGAACTGAGTCCGACAGTACAGCGGATCTACCGACCTGAGGGCGGATCCGCCCCGGTGTTGACTGCTATTTGGGTACTCAACTGTTTAACCTAAATTAATGTGGTCCAAGAAGGGAGAGGGGACTTTTCCCAGTAACACGCTCCATATATTGTTCTGTAATACTTCAACAGTATACAGTCCAGACTCTATACAGTGTCTGTGTCTGACAAGCATTCATCTCTTACAAGTACTTGGAAAACACTCTTTTAACGGAATGCTCTGTTGCTAAGTTGTAGCTAACGTTAACTCCCACCAATGTCTAACGTGATGCTAAAACAGACAAGATGCTAGCGTTAGCTGCACGCCTTTCCCGCCGCGAAAAACTCAAGTTCAAGCTAAAAGCGGGTCAGAAGATTTAGAATAAACTGTGTCTGTGTTTGTGAAAATAACAATTGTGGTTCCATTTTGTCGAGCTGAACGGATGAAATGCACTTCATACACATCGTTTGCTGCAGTAATTGTCTCACTCAGTAACTTGGGCAGTTTATTATCTCTGGAGGGTTTGCAATTTTGATTGTATGATTTTGGTAATGGCCACATTATTCTTAACTCTCAACTTTTGTTCTCACTAGTATTGGCATGGTGGCTAAACCCCTTGTTGAATAGGCATAACGCGGTGTAGCCGATAGGCCTAAATGTAATTTATGCCAGCAGAGTTTAGGCCTACCAGCAGTCAACAGGGGCAATTACATCACAAAATCATAACATGCCAGTAAACGTTAAACGTGCAAGTTGTAAACAACCTTTTGTCATCACCTGATCGGTCCGATACTATAAAGAGACTGCACTATGACATTTATATATATATATATATATTTTTTTTTAAATGTCTGTCTTCCCTAAATCCTCATTCTTACAATATAGAAAAGAAAAGAAGGAAAAGCAGGCAAAAAAAGAGATAAACTACTAAATGTAATTAAAAATATTCATAGTGAGAGTAATTAGATGATGCGTGTACCACCACACTGCACACTGCAACCAACAGCACAAAGACACTACATGAGATAGGATCAGGGTGACAGAAGCAACAGCTATTTCTCAGAGACTGTATCCGGTGCTTATAAGAAAACTGACTAAATGTCATGTTGATATACAAGATATGATGCTATCTGCTATATCTAACTGTAACTGAGGGGCAAAGCAGCATGACAGATGACTGCAATGCAGCACAGTTGGTCTCATAGCTGTACTGCTGCCCCTGTAAGAAAGTACTTTGTGTGGACCTTGATGTTTTCAGGATGTGATTGTGGTTAATCGAGCTTCAGAGTGGTAGTTTCATCTCCCTTTGGTGTGAAGCCCCTAAATAAGATCTGGTGCTACAAAATCAGAAGTTATATAAATTGTTAATAAAGTCCACATGTATGCAAGCTATGTGTCACATAATCTCAAAAAGCACCATTAAAACTAATATTACAAAATGGAAAGAGTATGGCATCACAACAAACCTGCCAAGAGAGGACCAAATACTCACAGAGCAGGCAAGCAGGACATTAATCAGAGACCAAAGACAACCCTGAATGAGCTGCAAAGCTCCACAGGGGAGATTAGAGTTCTGTATATAGGACCACTGTTAGCCGTGGGCTTTATGGAGGAGTGGGCAGAAAAAAAAGACATTGATTTAAAAAAAAATAAGACATGTTTGACATCTCCAAAATGCTTTTTGGCGACAGCTAAATTGCACACAGGTGGACTTCATTTAACCGATTATGTGACCACTGGAGATCTGAGGCACCAGATCTTATTTAGGGGCTTCATAGCAAAGGCATTTGCACACACCACTTTTCAGTTTTTTATTTCTTGGAATTTAATTTTTTCCTTTTGATAATTTTCTTGTAGTTCCATCACATAAAATCCCCCCCCCCCCAAAAAAAAATCTATTTTAATTCCTGGTTGTAATGCAACAAAATATGATTCTATATCAGGCAGCCATATATAATGACAAACAAGTATAATTACACAAGCCTGCACAAAAAATCCAGACGCATAGCTTGCAGACAAAGTATCTTGGAGTGTCATCACAACTTGAAAAGAAAAAAACAAAACAGGATGACCAAGGACTTCCTCAATGGTTTCACAATACCGAGATGAATGATAAATGTCACAGCGCAGCACATTCAGGCTCAGACTCACTGAGCACCATTCACTATCAAACATCCACCAGAGAGGAAGCACAATGTATGTGGGAGCAGTGATCTACACGTTGTTGGAGGTGCTCGTCGCTGTCAGCTGCTGTCTTGGTAATGTTCTGGTTGTTTTGGCGCTGTGGACCAGTAAAAGCCTTCAACAGCCCACCTTCTGCCTCATTGTCTGTCTGGCTGTGGCCGACTTCATGGTTGGCTGTGTGGCCATACCGCTGGCTGTGATGGGGAACGGACAAGTGACGACTTCGTTCCACGGCTGTCTCTTCATCAACTGCGTGGTCGTCCTGTTGACCCACGTCTCAGTTTTGTGTCTCACGGCTATTGCAGTGGACCGCTTCCTCCGGGTGTATGTCCCGCTCAGGTGAGACTTTTTCTGGATTGTTTATTGTGCAGAGAAACGTGAAATAGTGCTACTAAGTATGGCTTTGAATCACAAGGTTTATATTTTCATCCGTGTTATCTTAATCTTAATTTCTGACCTTTTTCTTGCATGGCCTACACTATAAAGGCACTGATTTACTGTACATTGCAACAATGACTTCATGACGGTTTTATATAAATTAGTTTGTAATTGCACCGTGCATTTTTTTAAAGAATTGGTTATATCAATAATTTAGTGTTTTTCTTTTTAGGTACAAAAGGACAGTAACACAGAGACATTCTCGGCTTGTGGTAGCAGCGTGTTGGCTTGTTGCAATACCGCTGAGTTTTGCTCCCATGTTCGGATGGTACAACCACGAAACCTTGTCCAAGAAGTCAGTCAACTCTACTATTGTCTGCCAGTTTACAGCTGTGATCCCCATGTCATACCTGGTTTACTTCAACTTCTTTCTCTGCACCCTCACACCGCTGTTGGTGATGACTGTGTTGTACGGCTACATTTTTTGCATCATACGAGGAAACCTTCGAGAGAAACCAGGCAACGGTCCCCAAAAACAGTCTCAGAACGACCTGAAGAAAGAGAGGCAGCTGGCCGGGTCTCTGTCTCTGGTCTTGGCTCTGTTTGCGCTGTCCTGGCTCCCTCTCCACATTATGAACTGCATCGTTTACTTTGGTGAGCTGAAAGATGTACCAGACAAAGCTTTCTATGTTGGCATCCTGCTTTCTCACGCTAACTCGGCTGTAAACCCAGTCGTGTACGCGTTCAAAATACAAAAGATCAAGACGGCGTACCTGAAGCTCTGGAGGGAGTTTATCGCATGGGGAGAAGAAAACCAAGGAACTCAGACAAGCCAGACGACAGACAACAGCAACGTGAAGAGCGTGGCCAAAAATGAGTGAAGGAAGTTTTCCTTGTTTGTTTGTTTCAGGAGCAGGTTTGATTAACTCTCGTGCACAATGAAACATTTAAACATATTAACATTGTGTGAAAGTTTATGAAGGCAGTTACAGTATGTGAAGTGTATTGATGAGGATGATGTTCTGTGTGTTCATACAGTAAGCACAGCTGAAAGTTCTGTTATCTGGCTATCATTATTGTTATCTTTGGCTCAGGAATGAGGGTGAGCATGCATGTGTGACTGTTGTGAAAAAGCTGTCTTGCAGAGTAATGGAGCAACTTCCACTTGTCTTTAAAGCTTTGGTTTAGTTTTATATCACTGTTGTTTTTTTCTGTTTCAGTTCTTCATGTCCTTTTCAACAGAAAGAACACTGTTGGAAATCACCTTCACTAAAAATAGAAAACAACCTCGACACTAGAGGTCAATTTAAACATGATTGTCACTTAGCTAACATTCGTTGTGCTGCGTGTACACTTCAAACCCAAGTACAATCTTGTATAGGTCAGAACAGCTGTGAGCTGCACGGCAGACATCTGTTAATATTTCGTTCTCCTGTGGAAAAGGAAGTAGAGGAAAACCCATTTCAAAACATTGCAGTCTAACACAACACCACAAAATACAACCACAAAGATGATTAAGAGTTGAGTTAACTAATCTCTCTTTCACAAAGGTAGCGTTTAGGTGGGGCGACTGGCTCAGAAGGTAGAGCGGGTCGTCCCTCAATCAGAAGACCGGCGGTGCGATCCCCGATCCTTGTCGATGTGTCCTTGGGCAAGACACTTAACCCCAAATTGCTCCCGAAGGCTGTGCCATTGTTGTGTGAATGGTTGGTTTGTTCTGATGGGCAGGTGGCACCTTGCATGGTAGCATGTATGAATGGGTGTGTATGGGTGAGGGACATGTAGTGTTAAAGCGCTTTGAGTGGTCGAAAGACTAGAAATGGACTTGCTATACAAGTACAAGACCATTTGCCATTTATTGCAGAGCTGTCGGATGGCATTTGCATTGTACAGATGATCATGGTTTTCAATATCGGCAATACATAATGAAATACTGAGCTACTGATGTATTTTTAACAAGCATTCTTAAGAGTAAGTCTCAAGAGTAAGTCTTTGAGATAATCATGCAGGTCTATTAAATTGAACAATAAAATCTAACCTGAAATCTATTTTTTTTTTAATTCAAAGATGAATACAACTTTTTCTTTGACTCATTATTTATTTAATTATGCTGACGTTTGTTTGTCTTAAGTTCTTATTTCAGAAATTCTGTTGATGTCCCACATTGTTTCTGTAGGTAGTGGACTGTATGTTAATTCGATTTATTGTGAGATCTTTACAGGTTTATAGTTAGTTGTGTGCTAGTTAGCCCTTTTTTCATTTTCTCACTTTGAGGGAGGATTCACACCCAAAAGTCTAGTTCTGCTTTCATGCTACACCAGTTACAGAGAATGAGCCAAACAGCGAGCTGCTGGCTGCTGTCTCAAAACAGTCCGTCCGTCCCTCCCTGCTGCTTCCTAGCTGTGGGGAGTGATGCGGAGGGACAATGAGGTGCGCTAGCTAGCTAAATATTTTCTTATTTGTGGTCTGATAAACAGTAAATGTATGAAATTCAGTGGGAACAAATGTGCAAATAGGCTACTAGTTAAACACTCACCAAAACAAGAAAGCAAACATTTCTTTTACAATAAAATTACATATAAATGGTATGCTTCCTGTGATTGGTTGGAGTGGTTTTCACACCAGAAATGAACTGCTCCAGAGTTCATTTGATAGCGGTCCGAGACCACCTCTTTGACGCGGCCCAGAGAGCGTTTGTTTGGTCCAAGCTGGAGTCCGAGTTGTGCAAACCGCACCAAGGGGGTAAACGCTTCAGGGATCAGTTGAGCCAGACCAAATAAAGCAGCCTCAGAATCTATTGTATATACCACTTTATTTTCTTCTGTAGGCTACATGCAGCATGTCATGAATCTGAAGTCAAATTAAACTTGTTTATTGTTGATGAATACAGTCTTTAAATGAGCATTTACTTTCCTGCCATAAATAGTTTTATGTAGTTTATGTACAAGCCACTATTATCAGCCATCATATGTAAAAATGAATTTCTGTGCACATTCAAACTCTGTTTGCATAATTTAGCTCAATAACAGTATATTATTTGGAAGATCTTACACCACAACTTCCTTTTCCATTTCTGCGTGTGTTTGACACAGCTATCTAACAGAAAGTAAACTGATATCAATCTAATATTAATCCTTTAATCTGACTTCTTTTGCTAACTTTTTACACACTTGGTTTATAGAGTGATTAATTTTATATCCTTTTATAACCTCAGTCATAATTCCAAACTGCCTTGACCGGTATCTCTTGCTGTCCAGTTAATAAGAAATTCAAATGTAATACTTAATAAAATGCTACTCCCACATTTGTGAAGGTTACATACAGTTTTATTGATTTTCATACAGTTACAATCATAAAGTTTCATAAAGTTAGAATCCCCATCTCCATATCTCTTTATTTATGCAGAACTTTTTAAAAACAAAGTTATACAGTGCTTTACATGCTTGAACCAAGATTATAACAATTTAGAACTGATAAATAAAATATTACAAAAATAAAATGGAATAAAATACCCAACAATAAATAGGTAAAGCAGTAAACTGGTATGGCCTGTTGGAAGTTTGATACTTGTCCAAGTAGCATAGAGTTGTGCACAGTCATCCCGTGTGTTGTTGCATCAAATTATATCCTTATCAAATTACCACCATCAAATACCATCTTTAAATATGCATTCAAACTTAATTCTGATTCTGTTTTCGCAAAACACTTTTGTAATGAGGCACATTACCAGCAGCACATTAATGACTGTAGGTCTTTGTCCTATGGACTGCCTCAAACTTCTCTCAGACAAAACTTTAGTCCTGCAGTTAAGACTGACACAGCTCTTAAATTTCAGGGTTTCTCCTAACTCTACCAGCTCGGAGCTTCTTTCATCACAAGGATGTCTTGTGAAAATTGTCACAGATACACAGTTCCCAAAACTTCCAGAGTGATTTTTATTTCTCCAATTTCCAGAGTGATGGTAGTCTTTGGCCACAAGATGGCATCAGAGTGGCTCCAACGCCACTCGTCCAATGTGAGTGAGCTTCATTCCAAGCACTCATTGTACCTCTCAAGGAAGGTAATTGGCTGTATAGTTAACCCCTGAGTAGGATTCACTCCATCCCACAAACTATACAACCTACTACCTCACCTTGCTAGGCTCAACTTCAGGCACCAATAAATGACTCAATATGTGCTAACTTCAGTACATCTTAGAAGAGACCAGTCCATCATTGTCTCGTAAAGTCGTTGTGTCCACAGTCTTCTCCTCAGACGTGAGGCACGGATCATTGCTTATTTTATTTTTTTTAATAAGCATGCTTTTTATTGGTTTCTGAAGAAAAATGACTACAACAACCTAACAACAACAACAGCAATGACATATAATAACCAATAACCAGATAGTTACTGCAGACTAAAAACTATTCAAAAAGGAGGGATCGGGTTCTCTCTTAATCTACTTTACTCCATGTGTTGGTGAGTTCCTCTGTTCCCGGAGCCTCCCGAGTGCATCCAGAGCACCTCTCCACAGCAGATCAACCTGTCTCCTTAGGAAAGACAGTAGACTGTATAGTTATCTCAGAGGGAGGACAGGGACCCCACAACTATTCAATCTACTACCTCAGCCTTAAGGACAGACGCTTTTGCAGGGAGCAGTGGAAGCTTGTCGGTCCAACTGTGAGACACAAATAGAGAGCGATTAGGTGAGGTTTTATTCCACTTGGGGCAAACAACAGTTGAACATTTTTTTTTTGTTGTGTCTGGGCCAAGATGTGAAGCATGGTATCATCTTAGATTATATGTAGTAGCAGCACTTCACAGAAAGTAGACTTTCAAAGAATTTCCTGTGACATTTTGTAGAAAGCTACTGGAATTGCTTTGATAATACTAGCATGCACACGTACACTGGTAAACAACATTATTCAGAAGACCCACCCCACCATGAAATCAGGTAGTCTGGTAACAGTTTTATCAGGAATTACCTTCTAGGAGCAATTTCCTCTCCAGACTCACCACATCGTAGCCTGAGTTGTAAAATCAAGGTTTGGTTAAGCAGACTCTCACCAGCCTGACTGTGCTACCGTGTTAATGTAAGTGTTCTTCAGTATCTGATCACTTACACTGGTCTGTGTGAATATATCTGGCCGGTGTTGAAGAACTACAGGTGACGGATACACTGCACACAATGCTGCTTTCTCAATGACATTGACGAGGAAATACTATTTGTCACCGCAGAGAGCTTAGTTTCATGGAAACTGGCTCATAAAGAAGGACAGCTGTGCCAGGAACTAGTACCTATTTCACTCTTAAACTTCCCAACAGACTGAAAAAGTTGCTTGGTTTAAGCACCGCCCCCCCTAGTTTAGTCCCTTCTGTCTCAACAACCAGAGAGCGAAGGGAGAAAGATGGAAAATGGCAGTACCTCGGCCATTTTAGGGAGTCGTTTGGCACCCGAACCCAACATCTGTGGTGCAACCTGTTAACTTCTGCCTCCTCCTTCCAATCCCAATCCATAAAATAGACTTGTTTGTTGACCTCCAAATAATGCTACGAGTGGCTGAAGGAATTGCGTCTTCATCATTTATTTCAGAGAGGTGGTTGTTGCTGCAGGTTTGACTTCAGATTATTGCCCTTTTAGCTCAGTGTGAAAGCCACTTCAAGTCCATTGAAAAAAAAAAAAAGTGTGCCGTGCCAGCTAGTCTGGGACACAAGCTGGGCAGAGCTGTCTGGGCCCCGACAGAGCCTCATTTTGGCCCCAGACACTGTTATGGTAGACGACGATGGTCGACCCATGCAAAGGCTGGGCCGCTTTGCATAAATTAGCATGTGAACCACCACGGTGGCTGAAAAGCGGCTGGGCAGTTCGTTAACATTCTGAATTCCTCTTTGGCCTAATTAATGCCGACAGTGATTGAAATGTTTTGGCCGGCTGTGCGGCCTGCGGTGCCAGGGCATGCTCATTTGGGCAGAATGAAAAAGGCACAAGGGCATCAGAGAGTGGGAGGCCTTAATTGAGATGTTGAATTAATTAGACGGTAAATGGTATCAAACTACTCTAACTGGCTGGCCAACGCAGAGGGGATGGAGTGAAGCGGGAGTGGATTCAACTCTTTGTACAAAAAGAAGTTGTGTGGACTTCAAACTAAATTTAGTTTAGTGGATTGATACCTGCTTATCCGTGTTAAGTAATTAAACCGCTAAAAATAAATACACACAAGTAGGTTTTGCATTGTTTCATTAAATTATCAGCAGTCCGTCTGATTCAAGCGTCCGTTCTTACCTTGATTGTTTCCAAATATCCTGTTCGTGATTGTGCATTTTACCAAAAACTGTCCTAGAGGTAAACACCAATCAGTATCTCCGTTATGATCCGGTGGGTGGGTTGGTAGAACTAAAGCAAACGCTTTTCTTTTTTTTAACACCCGGAAGTGATGGTTTGACTTTCTCGCTATATCCGTAAGCTGCTGATGATAAGAAAATGGCTGCTCTGTTGCAGAGTATAACAAAGGAGTAATGTTATCAATCCGTGACGTTCATGTAAGACTCACTCAGAACAGTCAACACGGTCGTTCACCGCTGCTTCAGAGCCGAGGGCAACTCGTCTTAATGGCGAAGGTTGGACTTATCAAAGATATCCATGTTGTTAAACTGCGAATTTAGTAGATGAAGGCACAAAAAAAATATATACCCATCACAAGTTGGCGTCGGTCCATGATGATCGGCGGAGTAACGACTGTGAGGGAAAAAGACTGAGGTTGGTTCTCTTGAGCGGCTCTCTCCAATATTTGGTGCCAAGAAATGGGCATTGTCTGCGTGCCAAGCTGATTCTCAATGAGACAAAAAAAAAGGGGGTGATGCCGTGGATGCAGCATTGCAGAACCCACCACCGAGGGGGGAGGAGAGTGTTGGCAGCCGAGCAATGAGAGGATGCCATGTCAGAAAGCGGCTATGATACCACACAATAAGGTATGGTGGCATAGCCTGCCGCCACATGCTCAGTGCAACGTGAGCTAGGTGTTCGCACATCTTGAGAAAGGTCCTTTGTTCCCAAAGCACACTTTGTCCATATGTTGGGTAACTGGTTATGTTTTGTACGAGCCCGAGGTTTCACTTGAATCTCTTCATCTGTGATGCAGCCTGTTCAATACACTCAGGTCAGCAGGAGTTTACCGCTGGCTAGCAGGCCGACGTCCTTATTCAGAACATCATTTACAAATTAATTATACTTTCAATAAGGGGTGTGGCAATATACCCTTATTGACTATAACAGTGATATTTATTAATTTAAATATGTTAATACTATGTAAATAATCCATCCCTTAATGACTTAACGACGATGTAATGGTGGCAGATGTTAGGCTTTGTGGATGTTTTTGTTCATCAGTCGCTATGGTGGCCTTTTCACTGTCCGTTAGTGTAATTGTTCTTTTTGTACAGTTATGATTACAGACTCTCTCTCTCTCCACCTCCTCACACTTTTGAGTATATATTATATTATTATTTTGAGTATAATCCATTTGCTGGAAATGGGACAAAATGCACAACATACAAAGTTAAAGCGAAATTTAACTGATGCCATTGTTTGTTTGTTTTTACATTTTCGATAGATATCACGATAATATCGTTATTGTGAATTATTTTGGCCACGCTAATCGATACCACCACAGCTGTAGTTTCAATGGAGCATAAAATAACTGAACTATAGTACTATATATTTTCTTACAAAAGTACACGCACATCTTTTATTCCTGAGAAACAAAGTAAGACGCGTGTGAACGTAAATTAGTACCAACCAGTTTAAACCAATAATATCATGACATTCATCCATCAATACACATACAGACCTCTGTAGCTCCGTATCGCACTACATTTGAAGCTCGTCCACTTTTTAGCGGTCCAACCCGGAGGCAGGACGTTTGATTTAAATCCCTCTTGTAACTGTACACGGTTACACGGCAGTACAGAAGCTAAAGACGCTCTACCTTCTGTTTCTCTAAGATTCTAATCTTACGACCCTTTTGGGGGTCCAGACCCCGGGCTGGGAACCACTGCACTATTTAATATCTGGTCCCAATTAGAAAGAAAATAGCCCCTTATATTTAGTCAGGATGTCATTAGAGGGACTGATGTTGGCTTTGGGGCCTCAGGTCAAACCTCAGTGGGCACAAGAGAATGAGTCTGTAGAACTGGCATGTGGCTGGACTTTGATTTTAGTCTTGAGGTACCATGCCACTTCTACGATGACATATATATACATATATATATATATATGTATATATATATATATATATATATGTATATATATGTATATATATATATATATATATATATGTATGTATATATATATGTGTGTGTACTACTGCCACTTCTACCTCATGCTCATTGAATAAAGGGCAATGTGCAAACCAAAGGTGGTGGGCATTAGAAATACCCTTTTCATTTATTTAAGTGTGATGCAGCTTGACAAAAATACTTTCTAAATGGTTGGCGCCGCTGTACTGTACTGTGTCTGTCACAGTACACTATTTTTTATCTAAATTGCTATTAATATAACAGTTTATTATTGAAACTATCTTTATAACTTCATTATATTCTGATCAAAGTACAAAGTATCAGAAGGGCAATGCCACTGTGTATTTTTGAGGTATGTACTTTGGTGTTTTATTCGTGGTGTGTATGTTGTTTCGAGCTGTGGAAACTGTCTCTGGGCGTGTGTGTCACATCCATATGCTGCTGTGTTTACCACTCAAGTGCCACAGATGGATCTTTACTATTCACACAATGACTGTCTCAAGAGACCAGGGTGAAAAAAAAAGAAGCGGTTTGTTGTATTCAAAGTTAGCAGCTTGATGTCTATACAGCGAGCGGCTGAATGTTTAGACGATCTCAGGAGAGTGAGAGGGAAATTCAGTTGTCGTACGTGGCTCTGTCTCGTGACGGGGGAAACCTGCCAATCCAATATTCCACACATTAAAACAAATGCAAGGACACTGGTTGAACATCTGGACCTTCCAGATGTTAATCTCAAGATGGATGTGTCGTGGCTTGTTGCTCAAAACCAGAACAGTTCTACAGTGGTAGTTTATGTAAAACGTCCGTAGTCTAAAGAATCCGATCAAATGCTGTTTATAGCCCAAGAGATGTTTGCTATCAAACAGGAAGAGCCGAGTGTGTGTATCCAGTATGACCTGCCAAAGGCAACAACCAAAAAAAGGCAGACTTTGATCCTGGTAACCACAGAAGAGAAACGCAAATAGCGGAGGATATGGCTTTCCAAACAACATGTCATCAAGCAAGTTCATCTGAGGAGAGCCGAGGGAGGGGAATAAGTTCATTTTCTCTCTTGCTGCCCATCATCGCTGAGCCCTCCCCGCCTCTTTTCTTCATTCACCCTTTATGTACGACTGTCGTTATCACGACAGATTACAGTATGCAAACAAAACCTCACACAGCTGCACACCGAGGAGCATGTGCCAAAATGTTCACACAGTTCAAACAGTCAGTTCGCAATAAGTCTGGTTCATAAAGGAGAGTAATCTGTAAAGACAAAAAAACACATTATTTTTGTAAACGTACCATGTTTTTATAGCTTTCGTGCTTCTTGCGTTTGCAACACAAACCGATGAGGCTGGATCTAAAACCGAGACCCTGCAATCTCACGACGCTAGCATGTATGGAACAATGCTCGCAACAGTGGGATCCGGTTCAGACTGGTTTGTGAACAGGTCCATCGAACCGCAGCATTCGAGAACACGTTAGAAAATGCTACAGTTTGCCTGTATGCTAGCACATATGAAAGCACATATTGTTCAAGATGCTTATTCCACCTATGTCGGATACTTTTTTTTTAACATTTTGTGGTCAAATAACGGGCGAACAACAGCCACAATACAGCTGAAGGTTATTTTGTGGTGCCTCTGGTGCAGATTTTCTCGCACCTTCGTTGCAACTATGAAAGACGGAACACAAAATGTTTGATTAAAAGGGCGAAATGCCTTTTATCTCCGACATTTTCCTGTTTTGAAACTTAGAGGTAATTATCACTTTTGATGGGGGGGGGGGAATTTGTTTGATCGAGTGTCTTTAGGCTCCGACTTGCAGTAAATTCTACTTACATGTTGCTTTTTACTAGTACTTTTAAGAGGCAGTTACACAACCACTAAAATGTCTTTTTATTCAGGGCATGTGTTTAGTCGTTCCGAGCTATGTAAACAGACTGCTCATTACGGTAACTATATACAAGCTTTGGTCATTATTTCTTAATGCATTCAACCCAAGAAACGACATCATTTCAAAAACTAAATCTCGGCGTGTGTCGATCCAACAAACGGTGGAGATTTAGGCATCGTGTTCGGTGCGAGCAAAGCAGACAGTGTGGAGGGTGTAAAAGTGCAAAAGAAATGCATAAAGGGAGACTTCAGCACAAAGAGGAACATCAAGGCCCAAACAGAAGCAGAATCAAACATTAGAAATACCTGGAGGTGAGGGGGTTTTTTTGTACAGGTCAGGCTAGTGTTCACCCGCAGAGAATTAGGCCATGGTGGAGGCGAAAAAAAAAAAAAGGCGGATCAGAAAAGGAGACAAGAATGCCTTTCCACATCCCTCTCTTTCTTCCTGCAGGCTGAGTAGTTCTACCAGCGAGCAGCCCCACTTGAACAGGGGCTGGGGCTTGAGAGCCGTTTGTAGGCCATGCCCTCCTCTCTCCCTGCCCACTTTCACCCCACTGCCAAGAGGGAGAGAGAGAGAGAGAGAGAGAGACGGCGAGGAGAAAGGGAGGCAGGAAAAGAAATCACAAAGTCACACAACTGTGCTCACGCCGTCCCACTAAGAATACCAAATCTGCCGGGGATGGTGTTTGAAAGTACACACTCGAGTTCTGAAGTTGACAGAGTCAGCTCGCCGCTTAACCAGTCACACGAGCTGTAGATTGTGTGTCATCAAATAGACATCTCACTTGATAGTAGGATTAAGAGCTGGGGGGGGGGGGATGATGAGCCCAGGAAAGGGTAAAGAAATCAGAAGTGAGTACTTACTTTGACAGATTTATCCAAGGGTTGGCCAAACAACTCGGTGCCAGATATTCCCGAAGCATTTCAGAGCAAATTAGTTAAAGGCTTCTCTCAGAATCGTGCAGTAAAGCCTTTTGTCAGCACTTGGCATCGTTCCCAGGTGGTACATGCCTCATAGTTCCCATTTTCGGTAGTCACTCCGGACGTCTTTAGTTGTTTCGGCACCTGCCTGTGTTGCTGTTCTTTCCATAGAGAAGAACAAAAACCCCACTGAGGTTGTGATTTAATTTTGACTGTTGCAGTGAAAGGAAACCAGTGTTTGCTGTCAACACAGCAGACCAAACGAGTGGTGTGGGATGTGCATCCTCAAGTAGCAAACTGTGTCATGGAGCTCTGAAGTGAAAAGAAAGGGGAGGGAAAGGGTCTCTGGGCAAAAAGCAAATCCAAAGACGATGTTTAGCGTGGGCCATCACTAAGAAACACAGGAAAAACACTCAAATAATCCAATGTGCGAGTCCTGAATAGAGCGCAACACTGAAATGTTCAAATGTTTCCATGCCACAGACACTCATTGGTATCTTTCCTCAGGCAATATCCAAGACAGCTTCCTGTGTGACGTCACTAACTCCTCTTTTCTTTAAAAAAAGAAAAAAAGCAATTATGTCCATGCATATACTTTAAATCCTTTCCCTCCCCGTGCCGTCTTCTTTTCAGGACATGTTCTAAGTTGTCAGTATTAAGTGCAACAAAAAAAAAAAAACCCAAGCAGGAATCGTTGTGCTGACATCTCAGGCAGCTCGAAGGAGAGAAGAAAGGAGAGGAGCTGCAAACAAATCTTTACTCTGTCTTTCTCTTCCTGCTCACGAACACCGAGCTTGTAAAAGTTTCAGCTGCAAGGATTTGGGTCAGCCTCTATTGGCTGGGAGTGCTGGCTCTTTGTACTCCCTCTCCTGTCACCCTCTTTCTCTCTCTCTCTCTCTCTCTCTCTCTCTCTCTCTCTCTCTCTGGGACTTGGAGCAGTGACCGCTCCCAGGACTTTTACTCTCTCCTCTCAGGGTAATGCCACCTCGTGCCAGCTCAGCCGTTGGGGCATCTGTTGGTCTGTTAGGTATCCGCTTGCTGGTCTCCATCACAGACGCCCAGAGAATAGGAAATGCAAGCTACAGCACTATTTCCTGGATACTTTGTCCTCCGTTTCAGAATGCGTGTCAGGCTCTCACGAGGCTCAGCGCTGCTTGTGTTACAGTTCGCACAAGGTTCTGGCTGCTTTGCTGTTCATGTGTGGCTCAGGGAATATCATCTGACCTACCATGCTGCTCCCTTCGAGACACTTTAATGGCACTCCAAAAGTGCGTTTTATTTCTTTCGCCATGTTTTTCCTTGCAACATTTACTGAAAAGAATAATGCACTCAACCGTAGAACTTGCACAAAAGTAGGTTTGTGTTAACGCAACCCCATGGTTTCACATTGTATTCAAGCCTCCCTAGTGTTATTCTCATGTTACAAGGGTAAGCTCTCCCTCTCACTTTACTGTAAAGCCTCTCTGTGCAGGTATCACATGGAGGACACAGATCTCTGAGCGCTGTGCACCACCAAGAGCAGGCCGGAGGAGATCTGTTTGAAATAATACTTGTCAACACACATGTCCCAAACCCCCCCCCCCCCCCCAGTGTGCCCAAAAGTTAAATAATGACAGGACTGTACAAACAGAAATCATGCAACAGCAAACATAATTTGAACTTTCCTCTCTGGTTGCTTCTGGACTACAAAGTTTTAGACGACTGTTGTCTGTACTTCACAAACCCACTGACCCTTCACACAGCTATCCACACAATCAGAAGGGTGTGAAGATCACGTGACCTATTGTAAGATGTGAAAACGATAAGAAACAACTGCTCATTCTCAGAGGTCGTTAAAATACAGTTCTCAGTAAACATACTGTACAAGGTTACAAGTTACATGCAGGACACTGCCAAACACACTGAAAACATCACCCAGCTATTTAGTACATTAAATATTATATGTAATTAGTCCATAAAGGCCGATACATCACAATGGGTGACAGTGTACTTGCATACGTGCATTCACTCACATGTCTGTATGCGTCTGCATCCATGTTGGTGTACTTTTGAGGATCGAGTTGCCTTTAACAGTCTCTGTGGATGAGCACCAGGGTCTAAGGTCTCCGTCTCTTCACTGGGACCGTCCAGCTGAGAGCCTGCTTCCAATATGACGCACGGACCCCCATCTCGTTTACCAGGCTTTGTGAGTGGGCCTTTTTTTAGCCGCGTCGTCACCATTCATACCTATACAACCATTGTGTTTCTAACAACAAGTTTGTTTTCAAGAACACAACGTTCGTCGTAGATCTATAGCCTTTTAATTTTGCTCTCAAAGTGCACCAAATTGATAAACTTTAAAATCCTACAAAAGGTAAAAAGAAAATATATATACAGCCCTTGTGTATTTCACTGGCCCTCCAATGTTTCTCTCTTATGGGTCAGTAAGGGCAAGCAATGCACAGCCATAATATGATCCCCTATTATGTTGCTGATAGGATTTTATTAACGAGGAACAAAGTGAGTGAAGGGATGTTCTCAATTTGCTCTTTATTAGATTCGGTAATTCGGTAATTGCTGCTCGAGCCTTCATGGGGAACTTTTTGTTTCACTGCTGTCTCCTATCTTCTTACCAAGCCAACCCTTCGGTCCAGTGAAAGCCACATGTGTACAAGTAAAGAGATAATTTTGTGTTGAGAGGAATAGAAACGTGATATCTTGGTCCCCAAGACAGCAGCAGAAACTTCTAATACAGTTAACAAAGTTGGAAACCCAGGGGGACCCTTCAGGGGGACTGTACTCACAAGTATAGGAGTCGTTTAGTTTCAGTGTTATGTTTATGTGCAGTTTAGATTAGACAGTTCACTTGACCAGCTTACAGAGAAAGTACAATTGTTAAGTTTTACCAAACTACATCCCATAACTAAACTGTATGAAGTACAGTTCTGAGGCCTTAAATGTGCAAATATTTAGGAAACCCTGGCCTAGTACAACTTCTTTTTTTCTTTTGTCATGTCAAGTAGCCATGCAAAATGGTTCAGACATGCATGCTCCCCAGAAGACTTTGGTCTTGTCATCTACAGTCACCAACAGGTTAAAATTCCCCCTAGTTTAACAGCTCCGTGTATCAAAGGGTACCTCTAAAACAAATGACCGAATCAGCCTCTGTATTTTGAGATTGATACTTACATGCAGCATGCTGAAACAGTATAAGTCAACAAAAGTACTTATCCACAAGGCATTCAAATTCATATTAACCCACTATATGCATGCTATAATAGCAAGAGTTTGAATACAATTATATACTATAGAAGGATTGGCAAGGTATACCCGAGCTGCTCAGCTTTTCTGGCCGTCCAGCTGCCATCTTGAAATTTGTGTGCCCTTACAATGGCTGGCCAGTGGGTGTCAGTGTGTGTCATGATGCACTACGGTCCACTGTGGTGGCTGAGGTGCAACGGTGCCATCAAAACCGGTGCATATACAAGAAACGGCTTTTGAATAGCTGTCCACTGTAGTGACAACAATATGAAAGATAAATTACTGTTAGAGAAGAGTTATTGACATTATCAACATTTCCAGTATCTTAGCTGACAAAGCTTATCGCTTATTAAAACATAGCCAAGTCTGACAGGTCAGAGCTGAGCCTGACGAGCTTATTTTGAACTATTTTGAATCGGGCCTTCTCACTAACGTCACCTTCAGGTCCAAATGTATGCCGTTTTAGGCACCAGTGTTTAAAGGTGCAAGAGACAAGATTGTGATCATCTCGACTGCCTACCAACAGCTCTCAACATGTCAACGCCGAGCTGGCGGCTCATAGCTCACTGTGCTAACAGCGCTAACAGTGCAAACTACGGCAAAAGTGCTGAGAGAGGGAGACCAACTTCATCCTCCGATCATGTAGACATCACTCTACTATATCTTTACATAGCACATAGTTTGCTGCTACATTAATGTTCAGAATATTTAATACAGCATCTTTAAGAATCTAAGAACAGTAAACCCTGTCTCTCTATTTTTCAGGATGTGACCTTGTTGAATCAACAGTTTGAGATTTGAGAGTTTCATTTTATCTTCAACCCAAGAGACTCCTGCCGAGTATCTCCCCATTTATAATGACTGGACGACACCTCCTGCCATTGTCTTCTGTTGCACCCCTCATCCTTCCTCGAAACAATCCCTCCACTGGGGATAGACTCATTTAACCCAGACTTTCCTGTTTCGTCCACATTGTTTGTCCTTCCTGAGATACGGGCCCGCTCTGAGTTGATGATTCACCTGGCTTTGCAGTGCCACCGGGTTCACGTCCTCAACAACGTGCTGTTTCAGCACTCAACCCATCGGGTTTACTAAAATATCATCGTCACACCGACCCCTTTCTCAAACACAGGCCGCGCCACTGAAAGCTCTACCTTTTTATGTATTTAACATAATTCTTCCTGGTTTAGTGTTTGTACAACTGCTTTGAATGGTCCCCGTTTCACCGTGACTTTGATTAATGTGTTTCCCTTTCATTCAGGCTCGTTGTTACAGTCTTTGGTGTAGTAAGAGCTGCTTTTACGGCCTCTCCGGTATACTCCTGCTGCTTCTCGTCGCTTCTGCGGTGTTTACCATCTTGCTCGCTGTAATAAAACACATGTGACACGAAAGTGGATCGGAAAGGCAACGCATGGTGAGAAACACACTGTGGTTTCTGTCTCTTTAAGATCTCGATGGCTTCTCCGCTGCTCCCTTGAGGTCGCTGGCCTTCCTTAGGCCGCCTGCCAACTGCTATGTTACTGTCAAGAGTTTGCAGAAATGCCAGCAAAGCCATTAGTCTAGAGCCTTTTCAACAGTCAGCAGACTGGACAGCGTGAGCAGCACAGTGATGTGGAGAAACACAAGGCCCGGCCTTCTAAAACTACAACGCACATCGCTTTTCCTTCTTTATTTCCTATCACGTGTTGTTGTTCACTTCATACTCTCCTCCAACTCCTCTTGTGAGCTCTGAGGCTGCAACCAGGCAGGACTGAGATAGAGTTTGAGGTTGTAGTGAACCACCTTTCACGACAGCAAACGGTGTTTTTTGAGCTGTTTTGGAATATTACTGTTGAAGCTCAGCCAGTCATGTACCTCCATGTGCCCCCTGGTGTCTCACAGCGGCTTCTCGCCTTGCTTTTCTCTTGTCTCTTGAGGCACAGCAGCATCTAGTGGTTGACTGAGGAAATCACACTTTTGTATCATCATCCTGCCATCCACTCACACTGTTTTTCACCTTTTTCTGCCTGAACTTTCCCAGCTTGTCTGGAATCCAAATATTGACCTTTTAGCCATGAACCACATTTAATTTCAAGGCTATTTGTGCTTTGTTTAGTTACACACACCTAAATTAACACTTTACCGTTTTTATTTAACCTGAATCTGTTTTCCTTTCCCCCAGTATTTGTCTTTCTTGAGGAACCTCCACAGAAATGCTTACAGATGGTGAGTGGCTGATTACAGTAATCCCAGTTGAAGGGTCGGGCTTCCTGGTTGTGTGGCTGATGGGTGGGGGGGGGGGGACCTGTTGCTTTGTTAAAAAGCCTCTTAGAAGTCGGGTCATGTGACCCCTCTGTGGGCTACAGGGCATGCATGGAGCCTTGTGGACATTCTCAAGCTGGATAGAGACAATCACACTGCTGCCAAGAAAAACCACAACATACGTGGTGAGGGATTGTTTTCATGCATGTTTTTTTATGTTCACACTAATACATGCAGGTTGAAATGCAGTGGTTTGCGTTGGATGTTCTTCTGTCTGACGCTCTGTTTCTTCTGTTTCCTCGTAAAGACCAAAACCTGGATGTGCTGTAACCTCTTTACACGTCAGCCATGCCCCTCCACCATCACATCGTGAAAGAGGCCTGGACGCAAGACGGGTATGTCAACATTAACGCACAACAACACACAACTTTGCAAATGTATGTATCGTCCAAGCATTTTTCATATGAGGCCATGTATGCGTTGGATATGCTCCTCATATTACTCCTACCTGAAGCACTGCGACTTTCTGAATGGTTATTACTGCTTGACCACACCCACTTTCCGCTGGTACTAGCCAATAGTTCTAAACCAATAAATGTCACAGGAAAGCTCTACTTGTTGTTATGCAGCCCTGCTTCAGAAAATCAATCAGCATCTTTTTTTTATTACAATCGATTAATTGTTTTTAAGCAAATAGGCCTAAAGATCACATATTCCAGCCTCTCTATAAAGAAAATATTTGCTGTTTTCTTTGTGTTTTATGGAATGAAATTAGGTATTGTTGATTGGATATGAATATTACCTTTTATGCAGCAAGTGATTAATCGATGACTCAAGAAAATTGATAGAAGAATTGACCTTTTCCTTTTCCAGAATCACACATGTGATCACATATAGCAAGTTAACGCCCTCCTTTAGTATTCTATCGACACCAAAATGACACAATTTCTGTAAATAATGGAATTGTTGTGATAAACAACAACAGCTAAGTTACTATTATCATTACATTTCATTACTAACAAACACATTTACTTTTGTCGTTTGTCATCTTTCGTTTGTGCCTCAGGGTTCATGAGCTTGAGGATTCTGCGCCGGCCCAGCAGCTGCAAGTTCAGGTAAATCTTTTATTTAAATGAGGCGGAAAAGACAAAAGGACAAACAACTTGTTACATGAGTATCTACGATGCAGACATGAGTTTTTGGTCTGTGGATAGTGGCCACGCATGATAAACAAGTCCTCTCCCTCCTCCAGAGCCTTTGTTGGTTTCTCCCGTTGACGTGTTTCTACCGAGCAGATGGCGTTACACATAAATCCTATTAACAACTTTCTGCTGATGGAGACTCAGTGAATACAGGGCTTTCTTACTCTTTCATTATCTCCGCTGAGAAGCCTGCTTTTTTAATTTTCTAACCTACAAAGCAAAGCAGTGGTATAGAGCTGAAGCCAGAGGCCTCGCCATGTCTGCAGAGAAGGTAAAAGGGTGGGGTTGTGGTTTTGTAGATTCTTCTTTTATTAACTTTCAAATAGGATGTGATTACATGTGTGATGACATAACATTATATTTAGAGAGAGAGCCATGGGATAAATGTTACTTTTAATAAGAGTTGAATAACACTTTTACTTTTGTTCATACAACAATATTTATGTATTTATTTATTTCAATATTTACAGTTGGACTACAAATGCAGAATTTAGACTTGGGGTACAAAGCATCCACGAGTGTGTTCAGGTTGTGATGTAGAATATTTCAGTGCTCTATATCTGAAACAAAGACATTTAGAGGAATGATTATGTTGACAATATCTGACCCACATTCTGCTCCGTATGTGGCTCTGTAACATTTTTTTTTAAAGTTGTCTTTGAAGGATTCTACAAAAAAAGATCAATGTTCAATCGCTCCTTTGGGTAGAGTGAAAAATGGCATTTGACAACTTTAACACAACAATTCCTTACGATGTGACAAATGCCAAATGTGCTGCCATAAGTGTGAGTTGTGGATTGTGTGAGAACACAAATAGACGTCCATGTACATACATCTAATCGGATTACCTTTGCTGCCTCTGCTGTACGCAATCACACTGACCTCCTTCCCCGTGTCTCGGCTCAGTGACACGTTGTTCCTGTCCTCACACTTCTAACATGGATACATTAGATTATTTCATAAAAATCCTCATACAGACAAATACATGTAGGTGGACTAAGGTTCAGTGGTTTGAGCCCCTTTAGACTTCACCTTAAGCTTGTGTCTAGACGGCCAAGATGAAAGCTTATATAGCAGGCGATGAAGAAAGAAGAGCAACCTGGAGAGAAGGTTTTACATTTAGACAGAATATGCACAGAATACAGTTTATTTTAGAAACAGAATAACAGAAAGAGCTCTGAGAAAGATTCAATAGATACATTTTCTGACTCCTTGTATTTTTCTCAGTGGTTAACTCATTTATTCATACATCCTCCTCCCTGGCTGCACCTCATTGATTTCTTTCATCAAGTGATTGACCTGTCATTTTGTGTCCTCTAATATGTGTGATGTAAAGTGTGTTTTTTGATTCACTGTGATTGTGACGGATTTGTTTTCTTAGTAATCAGGAGGAGGCTTGAGCAAATTCCATTAAAAAGTTGTGTAACTTTGACAAAAACTTTTTTTTGCATGTGTTACGAAACTGTGTTATCAAAGATGGTACTCATCATTGTTCCTACCTGTAGCTGCTCTTATTACTGCATTCGCTGTGACACTATGAATGTCTTATTGCACTGATGTGAGGATATTCTTTATGATATTTAATGTGAACCGTTGGAGAAAAAAAAAATTTCTATGTTATACTAGAACAACTATATTAATAGCTGTAGAAGTTGTAACAATACAGTTCTTCTTTTCTTTGCTTTCGGCCCCTCGCTCCTCTGCACATCTGTCTTTGAAATGGTGAGTTATCATTATGAAGATCATTGAATGGATCTATTTTTCGAAGATATTTTCTTTTTTCCCCAGTTTTTATTTTGTCTCCAGTCCATGTCATCTTTTCTCTGCTCTCATGTCCTTCTTCCATGAGCCTCTAATCAGTTTTTTTTTTATTTTTAAAGGAAATCTTTAGAAGCTAAAAAAGAAGAAAGAGGAGACAAATGGCACAACAGAAGCCAAGCAGACTGTGAAAGAAGCCAAGCCCAAAAAAACAAAGACGAAGAAACATGAAGATGTATCCGACGAGGAGAGTCCTGCCATCCAAAGTGAGGAACTTTAAAATGACTACGAAGAAAGCAGATACCAACGTCTCTATCTCTACTCTGATCCTACCACATTGGTTAACTGTTGTTTCCTTATCCACATTATAGATGGAAAGAAGGTGAAGAAAAAGAAACCAGAAAAAGATAAAGACGAACCAGAAAAGGAAAAAGAGAAAGAGAAAGAGCCAAAGAAGAAATCCAAAAGTGCTCCAAAAAAGAAGAAAGGTACGTCATTGGTGGCATGTGAAAACCTGTGAGATGATTAATCAAATATGTTTTGGTTACTACTGAATATGTTTCACATCGCTGCAGGTTCAGGCTCCGATAACGACAACGACGATGACAATGATGAAGACACCTCCAAAAAAAAGGCTAAGAAAAAGACAACAAAGGACAGCTCTCCATCTACAACTTCTGCCAAAGAAAAGAAATCCAAATCTAAAGGTAAGGCAAGAAGCAGGAAAAGAGTTCTGTAAAGGCATTAGCAGCGTGATCTAAACAGCAGTTATGAGCCCAGCCTAATGTTGTTAAGACGATTAAATGATTTTATCGTGTAATGGAGAGTGAGTGGAAACACTGACTTCATAGCAGAGGCAACAAAACACTTTAATCAAGTGACTATCTCGCCCTGAAGCGATCAGCTGGGGAAAATGTTGCTACAACGCTCAAATCCTGACAATCTTTTTAATTGCTCTGCTCTGCTTTAGTTAACAATGGACAAACAATGGTGTTTGACCAGACTCCTGTGGCCTTTTGTAACAATTTTACTGTGCAGGAGATCTGGAGAAAGTTATAGTTATTTTTCCAAATTGTTGAGTAGTAAAACGTAATTAGAAAACACCGATTTGCCAACAAACTTGCGAACTTATAACTCTGGCAAGGAATAATTGTGAACGTCTCAGTGAACCGTGAGGCTTTTTTCAGCTGAGATGTGAAGCCGTGGTTTTCTCCACTTTAGTGTCAGTTGGAGTTGAAAGAGGACTTAACGTTGTGCTACACACAGCGGCTGTTCTGTCGGGCCCAACAGCATTTCTTAAGCTCTTTACGATAAATTGCCATGAAATTTAGTACAGACATTCGTGGTCCCCAGAGGATGAGTTCTTCCCTGAGCTTTCCTCTAGCTCCACCACAAGGTTGATATTTGGTTTAATATCCATGTTTCCCATCAGGGGGAATGTTGATAACTTTGGTGATAACCTCTGACTTTTCATCAACTGGCATCATCCCGGTCAACATTTTTAATTTGTCCAATACTTTGATTTATGACCAAATATCTTCCAAACTGATGACACACCGGTCATGCTCAGCGGTTCTTTGTGTTTAGTGCTAATTACAAAATGTTAGCATGCTAACACGATAAACTGAGATGGTGAACATGGTCAACATTGAATCTGTTAAAAATCACCAACATTAGTATGTTAACATTAGCATTTAGCTCAAAGCAGTGCGGTGGCTCATGCGGTAACCTCTGGGTCTGAGAAGTGAAGCCAATGGGAAGTGCCTTCTTTCTAAATGTCATCTGGGGGCGACTTGCAAAAATACATCTCTTTGTATAGAAGTCTATGAGAAAATGACTCGACTTCTCACTTGATTTATTACCTCAGAAAACATTCTGAAGATGAGTTTGTGGTCTCAGTCACGAGTCCAAGTCTTCTCAATAGAGCTGGATGTTCCTTTAGTAATTTATGGTCCCATTTAGAGTAAATCGACCATAAAGCAGGGTCTGCTGTCGGGCATTGTCCTGTCTGGGAGTTGTTTGTGTTTTCATTCCTACAACTTTTACCCTTTCACAGTGTTATTTGTAGTTCATGAAAGTTAATTGTAACATTTTGCTTGCCTAAAAATGTCTTATTCGGCGTTCAGTTGTACTTAGCTCCACCCTCTCGTGTCACTTCTGGTTGCAATAAACCAAGATGACCACGGCTAAAATGCCGAACTCGAGGCATCAACTCGACAGTCCCCAAACCAAAGTGTGACGTCATGGTGATTACATCCACTTCTTATTTACGGTCTATGCTGTACATCCTCACAGACTCTTTTAGCATGGCTGTAGACCAGTTTAGTCCTGAGATATTCATCCAGTTCATCAGATTAAAGATTTATATCTAATGTCACCAAGTATTCGTTTGGGAAAAAAGCCTATATGAACATGACACACCTGTCTTTTACAGTGTGTGCAGGGACAACTTTTGATGTTTGGTTCTCATTATTCCTTTTGACTTGAGCTAAAATCAACTGCTTATCAGTGCAGGGATACAACTTGATTGTCACTTCAACACTGCCTTACTATATGATAGAGCCCACAGTGTTGCTGCTCTTTGCTATTACTGTGGTTGGATCGTCTCCAGAGCTTTTGCCTCTGAGCTGAACTTAACCTTTCTTCACTTCAGATCAGCCGTCAGTCATTTCAGTAATACCTGCTCCAACTTGAGCTTGTGGCTTCTTGCTACTTTTGTAGAGTAAAAGAAAGCCAGGTGCTTGAGTTTTTTGTCACCATGGAAATGGATTTTATTATATTAGAAGCCTATTTTATGGTAGCTATGGCAATATCTTTTTTATTAGTAAGTCTCTTTTACAATAACAGTATTTATGTTTGTGAATTCTTGTGTTTTAGTCACTGTATATTTAGCTGAAGGTGAAAAAGTATGACTAGTTAACATTTAGACTAAACCAAGGCTATTTTAACCAGTGACTGGACATATTTTGAGAAATTAGTGCCATGATTAAGTGCTTACCTAAGCAGATATTTAACCACATGTCTTCAATTCCTTAAGTCCATTTATCCCAAAACTATACAGGCACCACTTTGAGCAGCGATCAGTCAGCAAGTCAAGATATGAGTTCATGTTTGGGCAGATTCATCTTTGAGGTTTAAAGAGTGAGCGTTGACAGTATCGTGAGTGTAATCAAGGTTTTGAGGACGCGAGTGAAGAATTTGTCATCTTTTGCCTCAATATCGTCCAAGTTAAGTGCTCTCTGTTATTTTCTTCCCTGTGCACGTAAACACAGAGTGATAGCAGAGCAAATATCTGCCAGTGATGTCAGTCTACCTTCCAGTGTGCTTCATCAGCTTTCCCCTTGGTTTAAAACAATATGACCCAAACGTAAACCTAGCAGTCTGATGTGGGCCGGTCCTGGGGAAGTTTGAATCCCTCTCACTTTCTCAAGTGCTCAGAATTTTAGAAAACAGCACGAAGAAACTGGGAGAGAAAATTTCAAACTGAGCACACACTGAATGCTGCTCTTACACTCTGTCCCGGTATCACTGTCTACTACACAAAGGAATGAGATTTACATTATTTGCCTTTGAAATATAAAATAGATTAAATTCCTTAGTGCGTGCTCACATAATTCTTCATGTTTGGTATCGCATTCAAGGACGGATAACATCTTTTGAATTCTCAATTTTCAGAGGACAAAGACTCTGATGGAAAAGAAAAAAAGTCAAAGTCAAAGGAGAAAGACAAGAAGAAAGAACCAGCGTCAATGTTCCAGATAACTGAAGAAAAAGACTCAAAAAGCAAGAAGAAAGGTGATTACATGTTGAACTGTCAAAACGTTATGGTTGGCTCTTTCCTGAGCTGTTTAACCTTCTTTATTGTACAGTTCTCACAGATTTATGAAAATCCTATCTTGACGTGTGTCTCCTGAGCAGCTACCAAATCAGACAGCGATGACAGTGAAGAGGAGACCAAGTCAACCAAATCCAAGAAGAAATCGGCCGCTGGCTCAGCATCCCTGTTCCAAACATCAGGAGACAAGGACAAAGAGAAGAAAACAAAGAAGAAAGGCATGTTTACCAGTATATTAATTCTACTTTTGAGTCACTGGCAAGTATCTAACTATCTTTGTTGTATATTTAAGCAAAGGCAGAAGAGAGCGATGATTCCGACTCAGAAAAGGAAGGAAAATCTAAGAAGAAAAAGGGCAAAGGGAAGAAGAAAAAGGTATCTCAAACCTCCCTTTAAATAAAAAAGACATTTTAGTGACAACATTTAACTTCAGTGTGACACAGTAAGCTTGAACTTATTACTGCTCTTTGGCCAGGAGAGATCTCCGTCACCTGAGATTGAGTTTGACAACTTGGAGAAGTTTGTGATGGAGCCGGCTCCGCAGGGCGTGACCATCAAATGCAGAGTGACTCGAGACCAGAGAGGGATGGACAAGAGCCTCTACCCGACGTATTACCTTCACCTCGACAACGCAAAGAAGGTCAGGCGATGAGGAGTCCCCGTGTGGACATTCAGGGATTTGTATACATCACATTGTTTTATTTTTAAAAAATCTAACTATACTCGTCTTTTCTTTGTAGATATTCCTGTTGGCCGGCAGGAAAAGAAAGAAATGCGCAACTTCAAATTACCTCATCTCCATTGATGCCACAGATTTATCGAGAGGTGGAGAGAATTTTGTCGGAAAGCTGAGGTACATCTCGAAAATCATTAATTACCTTCAAAAAGCAACGTACCAAATGTGTAAGGACTCTTTTACTTCTTTGTTTTTTTATATTGTCTAGGTCCAATTTAATGGGGACTAAGTTCACCGTATTTGACAACGCTCTGAATCCAGAGAGAGCTCTTCCAGACATGTCTAATGCACGGCAGGAGCTAGCAGGCATCATCTATGTAAGTTATTACACAGCTCATCAGAAATGATCTTCGTTGAATTAAATGAATACAGTTTAGGTGTACATTTGGTTTGAAAACAAAAGTGGTACAATCCTGATTTTCCTCATTTCTGGCATCAGGAAACAAATGTCTTAGGGATGAAGGGACCCAGAAGGATGACGATTATCATTCCAGGAATGGACAAGAACAACGAGCGAGTACCTCTACGACCAAGAAATGTAAGAATTTCACTTTATTTGTATTGCTTGGAGTAGAACATAAAACGAACAGAATGACATACCGAACAGACCAGCTCACCGGGGTCTTACTGTGTGTTACAATTCATAATTTGGTATTTATGTTTTGTCCAAATCCTCTCAGGATTGTGACGGCTTGTTGTCAAAGCACCAGAATAGAAGAACGGAAAATCTGATCGAGCTTCACAACAAGACGCCGGTGTGGAGTGACGAAACTGCATCTCATGTGCTGAACTTCAACGGCAGGGTCACCCAGGCCTCCATCAAGAACTTCCAGATAGTCCATAGCAAAGACTGTGAGTATCCACAGTTTCTATCTGTCTGTCTTCACAACTAGATGTTAGTAGACCAAGAAATACAAAGAAAACAGCCAAGTCACAGAACCTCACAACGATTTAAAACCTTGTAAAATAACAAAGATTGATCAGGTGGATGTACTTCCTATTTAGTTTTGTTTACTAAACCTAACCAAGTATTTGTGTGATTATTATTCTTGTGTCTGAGTTCGTTTTGATGTAACCAGTGATGCGCATAAGTACAGCCTCACAGAGCTGCCGGCATGGCTGTGGACTCTCAGTCGTCTTACATTACTAATAACTTTCACTTGATATGATCCTGTAATAATTCCTTGCCTTTTTCAGTGGACTACATTGTGATGCAGTTTGGACGAATAGCGGATGACATTTTCACGCTGGACTTCAACTACCCGATGTGTGCCACGCAGGCCTTTGCCATCGCACTCTCCAGCTTTGACGGCAAAATCGCCTGCGAATAATAAAAAGATTCCCAGTTGTCTTCTCACACTGAAACCAGTATCCAACACGCCCACGTCACAACAACTCTTTGGACTCGCCTTTAACGCTTCCTGTGATTGGCGGCGATAACGAATGATGGTTCCTTGAACTGCTGCGCTCCGGTCTCCTAACATGGTCTGATCTTGCACGACGATCTTGTCTCGGTAACTTCAGTGGAAACGTCAGGATTTCTGTGAATCACAGAAAGACACACTCCATTTCAAAGGACCCCAGTGACTGAAGGGTTAAGGGTTTTTAAGGGGATGATGCTACACCTGGATTATGAAGGTTCCTAACATCATTAAACGATGTTAAACTGTGTTTTGTTTTTTGTGCTGTATTGTATTGCTTTGTACATGTGACTGTGAGAGGCAAAGCACACCAAAGATTAAGTCAGGATGAGAATGTCTTGTTACTTTAAGGCACAAATCTGATTTTATTTGAAGAGTCAAGCTTCAGGACAACAGTCTCAAATCTCAAGTCAGCGGTCTTAAACAACTGTTCATTGTTTATCATTGAAACATAAATTCCAGGTATTGTTAGAGTGACATACACAGAAGTTTAATATTTAAGAATAGGAGTTCTTATATCTGGTGTTAATGTGATATTTTGACTAAATACAGAAGATTTCTCTGCTATCTCAGATGATTTCAGCTCCTGTAGGATTTTCTATTTATTTTTTGGTTCCAAAATTTTATAAAATGTATTTTTTTTTCTATACACTGCCTTTGTTGCATTTCTAGGCTTAAAGCACGTGGACTTTCAAACTTGTATTTGTATTAAAGGTGCAGTGTGTCGCATTTGGGAGGATCTATTGACTGAGATAGAATATACTATTAATAAGTATATTATAATTACTGTATATTCTATCTAAATACGGAGCAGGTCCTCCTCAAGGAGCTGGTTGACATGTTTCTACAGTAGCCCAGAACGGACAAACCAATCCATGGCTCTAGATAGGACCATATACGTTTTCGTGTTTTAGTTTTTTTCGTGTTTTGGCGTCTCTTACATGCTCGGCACACGGAGGAAGTTTCAGTCGGTTGCAATCTGCTACCTCACCGCTAGATGCCGCCAAATCTTACACACTGCACCTTTAACTGCGTTAGTAGTTAGTGTTCATGTCTACCTGCCCAGGCACCGCAGATGGAAATTAGCTTGCAGCTGAATGTGTTGTACATCTCTTCTCCTAGATTGTTTTTGTACATGGTCAAATAAATGTAATAATCTTAACTAATTAATTTTCTTGAAGTCAACATTCATTGTACACATACATGTTCTGCCAATCTTTCCTTGTTGCACTTAGTAAGTGTTACAAAATGCTTAAATATTACAGTAATAGAAACTAGAGACCATCTTGCGATGGGATCACACCAGTTGTGATGCCAAATCAGGCCAGGGGCTCCTTCCCCACTTCTTTACTTCCTACACCCCTACTTCCGGCACACTTGCTTGGACCACACACATTCAAACATATCCTTCACTTCCTGTGAAGTGTCACAACTGCATCTTGCACGGTTGTGATGCTATTGCGGTGACAATATTTGTCGACAGACATAAATTAAAACACCTGGCAAAGTACTCAAAATCTCCTCAGCAGGTTTCTCAGTTGGTTTCTCCAGGACCACATTTTGCCATAATGACTCACTCACAATAAGACGGTACCAACGTTGATACCGCAGCTGCTAATTTATGAATTTTAGACTTCCAGCGGCCGACTGGTTATAGACACATACCACAACGTCCACAGTTTGAATCCAGCCACAGACTGTTGCACTTCATCCCTCTCCCTCTCTCCCCCTGCATGTACTGTCTGTATCTCTTGTGTCCCTTTCAAATAAAGACAAAAAAAAATCATGGATTTTGTAGAAAGTCAGTGCTAAATGACAAACTTAAGAGAAAAAGCACCCACAATTCCTGGATAAAGCCCCATACTACACTGTAGGCTTTGGTCATCTGTTGTAAACAGCTTTAAAATATGTTTTACGACAGCACTGTATCATCCTCTGAGCTGGCAGATAATCAGAAAGACTTCTTCCAGTTGCAGGTTTTGAGAGACACCCACGCTGTTCTGCAGTTGTCTGACATGTTGCGAGGAGAGCTTCACTCAGGATGAAAAACCTGTTTGAGCCGAGGGCCTCGAGAGCAAGTGAGAGGTGTGTATTCTGCCTGAACCTGCTCAGGCAGTTGTCCAAACTCGCAGATTAAACGAAGCCTGAAGCTGGCGGCTCTTCTGGACAGATGCTACATGGTGAGTTCTTCTTCCCTCATTGTCTTTTTCCTGTAACGTGCATTCTGGCTAAACAACTGCCAAGAAACACTGTTGTCATTCTTAGACGCTCATACACTTAGTGCATCTACTGTATCAGTGAGTCATTTCCACACCATCTGCACGTACAGCAGCTCTGCTTTAGTGTCTCAGTGGGGGATGAATAGCCGACTATTCAAATGTTGCAACCATGCTGTTGACCAACAGAAGGAGCTGTTGCAGGATGAACATGTGTTCAAGGTTCTAAGTTTATATTGTTCACACTGACGAAGGCATTCTCAGTCGTTAAAGATGTTCCCTCCATAACCGAAATAACAATAAATACAGTATTTATCATATTTATTCTATTCAATAATCCCACAGTGAGCTCAGTATTGAGTCATACGTGTGCAGTGCTGGAAAATAGATTCAAGTATCAGTGTTCTTATAGAGAAACGCTCCATTTAAAGTTAGTCAGTGAAATGTTTACTTCAGTGAAATACCTGTCATTTCAATGTACTTCATTAGCAAAGGTGAGTCACCTTTGTGATGTAGGTGAGTCACCTTTGTGATGTAGGTGAGTCACCTTTGGGGTGTCAAGTCACCTTTCAGAGTGCTTGATTATGCAAATATTTCAGCAGTCAATGATGCTACTCCATCGACTTTGTATTTTACCTACAGCACAGCACCAACTTTTCATTTTTAAATAAAATCATGTATATTAATTAGTATCTACACCCCAGATAACCTTAACATCATGACCCTTTTATTTCCATTTAAGTAGCTCTAAGGTTGGAAAAAAAACATTGTATTCCACACTGTCTGACAGTGTCTGTTCTCTTGTTCCAGCACTTATTGAAGCTATATGATGTTTACACTGAATGTATTTTTATTGTTGCGCTATTCCATTAAATGCAAATATGTTAGATGCCTTGCAGCTGGAGAATCAGACTTAATCACCATTTAATTTAAGTTATTGAATCACTGAACAGGTCTGAGATGTGGATGGTCATTTGGAGATATCCTGAACATCATTAACGAAGTACATTTACTCAAATACTGTACTTAGGTACACTGTTAAGGTAATTATAATCCAAATGAATGCTACTTTATAGAATGCTTTATATAT